GTATATAGTGGAATAATATAATAAGATTAAAGAATTTTTTTATAGTTACATTTTGTAAAAATATAATAAGAAATTTTAAAAGTATAAGATTTAAAGTATTAATTAAAATTTTTATAAGAATTGGAATATAAGTGCTAATTGATGGATTTGATTTGTGAACTAAATCTACTAAGAATTTGGGTTTTCATTCAGTCATAATTTTTAATAAATAATCAAAGGAGTATTTAAAAATAAATTTAATATTTGAATTTTCAGAAAGAATAATTTTTCCAGATATAAAAGAAATTAGATTAGATTTAAGAAAATTAAATAATTATTAAGATAATGGAGTGTTAAATTTTAAATTAAATTTCATTTCTTTTATAACTGAAAATAATTTAACTCAATCAAGACCTTGGAGAATATTACATTTTTATTGTTAAGATTTGTTATCTTTTTTTTAAAAATTTAGATAAAATTTCTTTAAAAAATTCTATTTTTTTTAGTTTTGTTGAATAAGACAAATTTGGATATATAAGTCATTTTTTTTTGTTCTTGAAATAAAGATTTAGTTTGAATAAGATGACATAATTTGATATCAATAATTCTGAGAATACAGTTATGATAAATAAGTTGAGTTCTAAAAAGAATTACTATAATATAATCTGAAGAATATTTGTTTTCTTAAGAAAGAACATAAAGAAGATTTTTAATATTACATAATACATATATATGAATATATTGAAAGTAAGGAATAATGGCAGTTGGTATAGGATTGGTATTAAATGAAAGAAAAAGAATAGTTGAATTAGAAAATTAAGTCAAAAGTTGTTTAATAATAGAAAATACAGATAGAGTATTACTAATTTTTTTGAAACATGTAATAAAGATAATTGGAGAGGTTTTTATATTAAAGAGATCAAGAATGATAAGTTGAGTAATTTTATAGTAATGAGAGATAAAATTAGTATAAAATTGATTATATAAATATGTGCCAATAGTTGGTTAAGTTGAAACTTTGAAATAATATTGTTTTTTCTTAAGACTTTCATATTGATTAGAATTAATATCTGATAAAAGAATATGAAGTAATTTAGAAGTTTCCTTATTCATACTGAGTCTATGACAATCTTTGTATTTAGAATAATAATAATTCATTTCATAGGAGTCTGATTCAGTTGTTATAAGAATCAACATTTTTAGATATTTTATTAAATAAGAAAATAATAAAAAAATTATAAATATTTGATTTTGTAAGTGTAGTAAGTAAATACAGAGGTTTTAGTATAAGATGTAGCTTAATATAGGTTTGTATAATTTTATATAATAAGATATAAAAATTTTAATTTATAATAACTAAAATAGTAAATGTAACTAAATAAAGTTATCAGTATAGTGTAATATTGGTACAAAATACACTTTTGTATAAAATTAATTAGAACCAAATATAGGAAAAGAGTAGATTATATATTAAATAAGATTCTATTTAAGGATATATTAGTATATTTAGTATAAATTTAATTAAATATAAATTAAAAAATGATCTGATATTATATAAAAAATATATAAGAATAAGCAGACCAGAGTAAGGACAGAAAGTAAAAAAAAAGAATTTTTACAAGAGACTAAAAATTAATTTTAATTATAATTTAGTTAATATTAGATCACAAATCTTTATTTAGAGCTTGTTTGATTAGGAAAGTGTACTCTATACTTTTCTTAAGAATGTAAAATATTTTTGATAATAACTTTTTATATAATAATTAAAATTATAAATTCTGATAACCAAAGGTCATTAATATGTTTTTCATAATAAGTTTGAATCCTAAAGACTTAAAATTTTTAAAATAAATATAAAATTAGTACTTAACAAGTTTATTTAAGAACCAAAGACAAGTTAACTTAGTAAAATAAATAGTTATAAACATTTTTGTACAGACAAATTTTTAGTTAAGATTTGTGTAAAGAATTTGCAAAAAGAGTCCTAAATATAAAATTTAATTCTTTAATTTTAATATTTATGTTTAAAAGAATATGTAATAACTGTAATTATTTAATTTTTAATAAATTATTAAAATGTATATAAAAATTAATTCTATTCACTTTAATATTATATTTTAAAATAATATATAGATAATTAACTGTAATTATTTAATTATTCAATAATGATTATACAAATTTGTATAAAGTTTAATTCTTTTACTTTAATGTTTGTATAATAAATTTTTTTTTTTGGTATTAAGGTGACCTTTTTGGTCTTTTGACTTTTATTAATTACTTATCAGTATTGTGATTCAATAAACTACTATAGAAGAGCATACAATTGGCTACATGTATAACTTTCTATATTACCTATTTAAGGAGTCTGCCCAAAGGTTCTCTACTAATTGTCGTACCTAACACCTCTGCTTGGGTGTTCTACTTTAAACCTTCTGAACCTATAATCTGTGTTAATATCACTGGTCATCTCAGATGTACCAAATCATCATCCTCAACCTTAGAACTAATTTATTCTCAAGGTAAACCCCCAGAGCCTTCTATATCCATTTTTACAGCTGACCTAGGTATTACTATGGCAGAACCAACACTTATGGTCAGGACTAACCATTAAACCACTATGCTCTTGTAGAGTTTACTTAGACCTTAGCATCTATTTCACAGCATAACTCCAGTACTTTAATATACCACTGTATTTTGTTTAGTCTTTTTACCAAACTCCCAATTCAGATAGCCCATATAGAACTACAACCAGTTCATTAGTATATTGGATCAGCCTGATATCCTTTTTCTCCAATTTGTTTCAGCAGCCTGATTGGTAGTACCTCTGTGCCTTTCAACCCAGAGGTTCTTGCCCATCTGGCTACTACAACCAGGATATAGGCAGAAGTTTGTTTGGTTGGCTGGTGCAAATCAATTACCTGGGTAACTTATTTATACACTTTAAAGTACTTTTTGAGAATGTAACGTTTCATTGATAAAAATAAAATTTTTTTACATATGTTATTTCGTTTGAGTGCTGGAAAACTTACTTTAAAAATAATCATTTATAATCAAAAATTTAAAGAGTATAACTTTAATAGTGACTTTTCATAAAATAGGTGAAGAAAAAAGCTTGAAGTTAGTTTTAAAGTACTTTTTCAAAACAGAATGTCTCATTACAGCACTAATAAAAATTATTTCAAGATCTATTTGTAGTTTCAAAGCACTGTCAATTTTTGCTATGCAGAAAGATCTCACTTCTGAAGAACTTTGCTTAGAAGGCAAAATATAATTAAATATATCCCATCTATTAGATCTTACAAGAAGGTGACTAGAAATATTTTTGTTTAAGAACTTTATTATATTATATTAAATAAATTTTGTTTAATTTGAATAGGTTCTTTAATAGTAAAAAGACCTGGGTTTAATTTTTAAGTTTGGTTTGCTCCTTTAGTATGTTTGGGATTGTTAATTGTAAAATTTTTGAATTATATTGTATGTTGTAGATTCTTCAATAATTTTAGGTTTACTATATAGTAATAAATATCATATTTGTCTCACTCTACATGTATCTATCTATTCTATAAACATATGTGATAAATTCTTTTATATGTATTTATTTGTTTATAAACTTCTTTGCATTTTTTTATTTTTAATATTAATAGTATCAAACAATAAAATTTTTACAAATTATGTAATTTGATTGGTTAATAATCACAAGAAATCATGGATAAATCTATAAAAATTAACTAATTAAACAAATTTCTGCCTATGTATGACCGGGTACTATGACCTTGGTATCCGTTTTTTCAATCTAGCATTTACAGTAGGACTGTCAAAGATCCAACTATCTCTCTGCTTAGGTCTTCCTAAATGGACTTCTTGTTATCCAATTTCAATGGATTTAAATGATCACAAGGACTTATCTAGTGTTTGCACCACCCAATTTATCAGTTTGCATTCTTCTGTGTAATGCCATATTTATACAGATGCCCCATGACCTGCCAGTCATGCTGGTGTGACCACCATTACAGGTATCCTAACCTAATCATTAGTAACAGTTGCCATAATATAAAAATTACATAGGTGATTATTCAAATTTTTCGCCGTTGATGGGATTTGAACACCCAACTTACCACTTGGAGGGTTGACAACCTGACCACTTCACTAGGTTGCCACACCCCCCCGTTTGTATAATAATTTTAAAATAATTAACTAAATACTGTAATTATTGAGTTTTATAATAAATTTTTTAAATCAAGTTATAATAAAAATTATAATATTCAATGATAACTTATTTTTAATTACTATTCATAATGCATTGGTAAATTCTTAAACAGAATTCTTTATGATCAATCATGTTAATTCTGATATATCCTATTAAATTTGACCCATACTGCAATAGATAGTATGTTTTTTAAGAGAGTTTTTAACAAAAAAAATTAAATAAGATGGGTGGCACGAATGTGTCACCTATCACACTAGTTTCTTATTAATCAGAAAACAGGTGCTGTTAGTATCTGAAGCTTTTAATTTTACAGATGGGTTGATCTGTTATATTGGTTTAAACTCTGATTGGATATATATTGTGTGAATAGAACCCAAGATATTTTTGGTACTTGCTTATCTATAGAAAGTCCTTCGCTACACTCTGGACAATAATAGATAAGGATACCCAATGAAGACTTCCAGATTCCTAGTCAGGGTTTAAAAATTATGCAAATTATTACAGAATTCATGACAGAGGTATGGGTTTAGAAGTCAGTCAGTTATTTATAAAAGGTTCTTTGAGTCAGCATTATGTACGCTAAAAAAATTTAAAACTAGTTTAAAAGCCTACGACTTTTTACATAGCCTATGTATGTTTCCATCCCTAATGCTGCCTATGTTATGTGTAACGCTCTGAAAGAAACTTCATAGTCAACTTAACACCATCAATATTTAATCAATTCATGCTAGATTAATATATCGTTCATCAATTTAAACAAACATTTTTGTGGTTACAATGAGGGTCATGAGGATCAATTTATACGTACTCCGAAATGAACTCTACTGAACAGAAACCAAGAGAAATTGATGAAATTATTTTAAATCAAGGCTATTCACATGTAATTTAGTAATATATTGAAGAAAAATATTTTATTTATTGTATAAACATTAATTTTAACTAGGTTGTGAATAATTATGAAAGCTCTACTGAAGTTATCGATCAATTTAACAATGATCATGATATTGAACATTACGAAATTCTTCTCGATTCTTTTAATAAAGAATTAAGTACTACACCGGATAATGCGATATTATTATATAATCGTGCACTTGTTTACTATAAAATGAAAAACTATGAAGAATCTCTTTTGGACTTAAACAAAACATTGGAAATTAAACCAGATAATTTAGATGCACTAAGTATTCGAGGAGAAATAAATTTATTTTTAAAATGATATAAGAATGCACTTGAGGATTTAAATAAAGTGCTAGAATTGAACCTGATGTGGGAGCAAGATTTTATCGTATGATTGCTTATACACGTTTGAATGAACTTGATAATGCTTTTAAAGATGTGTGTAAATTATTAGAAGATTTACCAGACAACATTTCTTTATTACTCATTCGTGCAGGCATTTACTATGATACAAAGAGATATGATGAGTCTCTTTTAGATATAAATAAAATATTGGAAATTGAACCAAGTAATTTAAATGCAATGAATATTCGTGGAAGAATTTACTTAAAATTGAATAAATACCAAGAAGCACTCGTAGATTTGAATAAAGGACTAGAAGTTGAGCCAAACAGTAAAGATATGATATTAAGTCGTATTGAAGCTAATTTGAATATAAATAAGTTCCAAACAAATCTTAAAGACATAAGCAGGTTATTAGAAAATGATCCAAATAATGTTAGATTATTAATGATTCGAGGATTAACTTATATGATTTTAGTTCGATATCAAGAATCTTTAGATGATTTTACTAGTGCATTAGAAATAGAGCAAACTGACTTGGGAATTCGTTTAGAACTGCAAAGATATTGTGGAATCATAAACCAAATGATGTGTAATTACAAAGCTGCTTTATATCATTTTAATGAATCCTTAAAAATCAGACCTGGTGATAAAGTCTCTTTAAGTGAACGTGCAAAAACATATAAAATGTTAAATCGTTATGAAGAATCCATCGCCGAAATAGAATCGATTAATAATGTATTGCTAGAGGCTGATGGAATTGATTATTATTCTCTTAGTTACTATGAGCGATCTTTAATAGATTTAAATAAAGCTTTGGAAGTTTCTCCTCATGATAGAATGACCTTGGCTCGTCGTGCAGATGTATATCGCATATTGGAACGTCATGAAGAGGCACTTGAAGATCTAAACACTTTGTTAGAAGCTGATTCACATGATGTATTTGTTTTACGTATTCGTGGCGAAACTTATCGTCAAATGAAAAGATATCATGAATCACTTGATGATCTAAATCAAATTCTACTTAATAATCCGGATGATGCATCTGTACTGAGACTTCGAGGAGATCTTTACCGAAAAATGGATAGGAATGATGAATCACTCAAAGATTTTATTAAGGCATTGAATATAGAACCAAGTAACAAATTTGCTCAAAGTTCTTGTATTGATATTTTCCGTGCTTCTGGAGAATATGATAAACATCTTTTAATATTGGAAAAGGCGGTTGAGGATGACGATTTTGGCACTTTAGATTTATATGACGAGTTATTAAAAAGTAATCCAAATGATGCTTTTATAAAAACTTCTAGGGGTGTGGTTTTCTGTATGCTGCAACAATATGAAAAATCAATTAATGATTTAAATAACGTATTGGAATTTTCACCAGATAATGTATTTGCTCTGAGATCACGCGGATATACTTATTTCAAGATGAATCAATATGATAAATCATTTGATGATTTAAATAAAGCGTTAAGCATAAATCCAGAAGACACATCTTTATTAGGGTTACGTGGAGAAATTTATATCAATTTGAAAAAATATGATGAATCTCTCATTGATTTAAATAAATCACTTGACATAAATCCAAATGATATATCTGCACTTGTTAAACGTGGGTTAGTTTTTGCCAAACTTCATTTGTGTGAGAAATCATTTATAGACTTAAATAAAGTACTGACAATTGATCCGAATAATGCAAAAGCGTTAGAAATTCGTGGATTAAACTACTTGTTTTTAGGTAAAATTGACGATGCCTTTAAAGATCCGACTCAGTCATTGGAAATAGATGCAAATAATCCACTGGCGCTAAGTACTCGAGGAGAAATCTATCGAGAAATGAAAAAATATGAAGAAGCGATTGCCGACATAACCAAAGCACTAGAAATAAATAAGGATGATGAATTTGCATTAGAAAGTCGTGGTGAGCTTTATCAGATCATGGGTGAACATTTAAAAGCGTTGAAAGATTATTGTAAACTATTGGAAATCAATCAAAATAATAAATTCGCGTTAAAAGCTCGTGGAATAATTTACTTCACTATGAGTAAACTTGAAGAAGCACTTCAAGATTTGACTGATTCATTGAAACTTGAACCGAATGATGCATTCACATTAAGTAGACGTGGATCTATTTATTACATGTTGGAAAAAAATAAAGAAGCACTCAAAGATTTGACTAAATCTCTGAAAGTTGATCCAAATGATGCATATGCATTAAAAATCCGTGGATCAGTATATTGTACTCTAGGAAAGTTTAAAGAAGCTCTCGTTGATTTAAATAAATCATTAAAAATTGAACCAAACGATAAATCTGCATTACAAAACCGTGCATCAATTTATCACAGTATGTGTGAATATGAGAAAGAAATTGTAGATTTAAGTATATTATTAGAAACTACACCAGATTATATATCCGCATTAAATAGCCGAGGATCAACGTACGGTACACTGGGTAGACATGAAGAAGCGATTATAGATTTCACTAAATCGTTGGAAATAAATCCAGATGACGCATTTGCACTAAGGAATCGTGGTGCTGCCTATAGTATGATAGAAAAATACGAAGAGGCAATTTCAGATATAAATAAATCGTTAGAAATCGAACCGGATGATGCATTTGCATTAAAAAGTCATGGATTTTCTTATGACAGCATTGGTAAATATGAAGAAGCAATTACTGATTTAAATAAATCGTTGGCTATTGAGCCGGATGATGCGTTTGCGTTAAAAGCACGTGGAGCATCTTACTATGACATCAGAAGATATGATATGGCGATTAAAGATCTAAATAAATCATTGGAAATTGAACCAAACGACGCATTTGCATTGAAAATCCGTGGATTAACTTATCAAGATATCGGAAAATATTGTGAAGCACTCGTGGACTTAAACAAATCATTGGAAATTAAACCGAATGATGTGACTGTTTTAAATAGTTGCGGACTCATTTATGGCTTAATGGGAAATTATGAAAAAGCAATAGAGAGCATCACAAAATCCATTGAAATTGAACCAAATGCCATGCCCGCATTGAGAATTCGAGGTGGTGTTTATTATGAGATGGGCATTCATGAAAAAGCAATTGAAGATTTGACAAAGTTAATAAACTTTAATCCAAAAGATATACTAGCACTAAAAAGTCGTGGTGCTATTTATCTTGACATTGGAAAATATAAAGAAGCCATTAAAGATTTAACAAGTTCTTTAGAAATTATATCAAATGATGACTTTGCATTAAGTAGACGCGGAACTGCTTATTTAATGTTGGGTGATTATGAAGAATCATTTAAAGACTTAAATAAATCATTAGAAATAAATCCAAATGAAGCATTTGCATTGAGTAGACGCGGAGTTGCGTACACAATGATTGACAAATATGAGGATGCATTTAATGATTTAAATAAATCGTTAGAAATTGATTGTGAAATATTTGCCTTAAGCAGACGTGGAGCTATTTATATAGAAATAGGAAAATATGAGGAAGCACTCAAGGATTTAAACAAATCGATAGTAATCGAACCAAATAATGCGTACGTACTGAGCAGACGTGGAACACTTTATCGCATATTAAAAAGATATGATGAGGCCCTTGACGATTTGAACAAATCAATAAAAATCCAACCGAATGATGCATTCGCGCTGAAAAACCGTGGAGTGACTTACCAAATATTAAACAAATATCAAGAAAGTATCGATGATTTAACTAAATCTCTGGAATTAGAACAGAACAATATCTTTTCATTGATAAATCGTGGAAAAACTTTTACATTAATGGGTCATTATCAAAATGCACTTGATGATTTAACAAAATCCTTGGAAATTGAACCGAATAATGTTGCTGCATTGACAATTCGAGGAACAACTTATCTTGAAATGAGTATGTACGAAAATTCGATCGAAGATTTAACAAAATTATTGGAAATTGAACCAAATAATGCAATTGCATTAAAAAATCGTGGAGTTGCTTTTCAAATCACAAACAGATTCAAAGAGGCTATTGAGGATCTAAACATTTTATTGGAAATTGATTCATTTGATATAGTTGCATTAGTAAATCGCGGAAATCTTAATCTGGCAATGGAAAAATATAATGAATCGATCAAAGATTCGGATCTAATCTTAGGCATCGACTCATTAAATGTTGATGCAAAAGGAATCAAAGGTGTAGCTATGTATATGCTTAAATTATACAATAATGCTTTAGAGAATTTCAATGAAGCATTGAAATTAGACCCAGACAATTATTTTTGTCTCGCGTATAGAGGGGCTCTTTATCTAAAACTTGAAAAATATGACGAGAGTGAAAAGGATATTGATAAAGCAATTGAGTTAATGCCAGATGAGTCATTCTTACATTGGCAGCGTGGTGCACTTTACAGTGCAAAGGGGCAGTACGAAAGTTCGCTTGAAGAGTTTTCTACAGTTGATAGTTTCAAGTCGAAATGTAGTTTGGATAACTATGAACATGCTGAAGCATTTTATAATCGTGGTATTTTATATAAGAAGTTGGGAAAACATGAAGAATCAATTCGTGATATGAAGCGAGCACTTAATCTAGAGCCTGGTAATGATCTTACAATAATGCTCTACGAAGAATTAAATAACTGCAAATCAAAAGATGTGAGTGTTCAGGATGATTAGACTTTCAAATGTCAAGAGCAGTCATGTTTTTTGTTATCATCCTTTTTATAATTCCAGGACAAATGAGAAAGAAGGTTAATGGGTAGGGATGGGGTCCCGTAGCCTAGTGGTCTAGGCGCCCCTCCCTCCACAGACAAGGTCGACGGTTCAATTCCAGCTGGAGGCAAAACTCTGTAATCTACGGAAGCATATGAATGTACGTAAAGCCCTGTGGCTTAAGTCCATGTGAATAGAAGATCGGTATATAAGGAAGTTCCTGGAAAGAAGTTTCCCGATATG